GAGAACAATTATTCGAGAGAGATTGGAGGAAATTTGATGGTCCGAGTGATTGGATAGAAAAATTATATGGGAGGAATAAGAGAAATTTTGGTCGTCTGAGTAAACTTACGGAGAGATGAATTATTTGAGAGGAATTATAGAGAATTTAATGGTCTGAGAATTTAATTAGATGAAAAGAGTTATATGAGTGGAATAAGAAAAATTTTGATCGTTCGAGTGAATTTTCCTGAGTAATACTTCAAAAGAATTTAACAGTGAAAAATCCAATGATTTTTTTTCAACTTTTTTTATTAATTAATAAAACACGCGTTATATCCCCAGGCCTTCGCAGTATTAACTGAGCTAATGTTGCTTAGCTTGGTTATTAGATTATAAGATCTTTGGAAACTAATTTCATAAGATGTTCCTGAATTATTGAGCTTAATAAGAAAACCAGGCATTTTACTTACAAATATCGAGCAGTTCTAGAAAGAAGCATTCCTAAACAATGACTGCTAAACTTGACTGAATAAAGAAATTGTTTCGAGAACAGTAATTTTTTCTTCAATACTTAATATTTTTGGTTTGGCTAACTCCGCTGACTACAGGGACATCGAAAGTATCCATCTGCCCCTTTACACGCTTTTATTTGCTTAATAGATTAATTCTATAAATTGCAGTGCAAAATGAAATACGTGGCATTGGTCCATTGTTAAAAGTACCATGGATTTTTTCATATTTTTAACAATATTTTTTATTATAATTCGTATATGATGGAACATTGTTCGAATAATTGTTTCATTAATACCGTAAAAAAGATCTAAATATAGTGATTGGTTTGAATGGAATTTGCGTATGGAGTTTACTTACTGGTTAACTTTTCATTTTCTTCGATTTTGAAATTTTTTTTAAAGATTGCCTCCAATCTCTGATTGGAATTGCTCAGCTAGCTTACTTGACCAGATAAATTCTGCTAGACGAGTCGCTTGGCGGAAGTACAGATGAGCTCTCAACATTATCTAAATTTTTGATGAACAAGTTTATTCCATTTGAGAGTTGAAATTTTAACATTGGGGCTCCACAGATGGGAGTAATAATCCGCTGTTTTAAAATGCTTTGAAGGCATATCGACAATAATTTATTAAAATGGCGGACCACATAATTCTGTAATGTTAATCCTTATGCGAACCTTTTTTATTGCTCATAGAGGTGGGCCTTTATCTCCATTTCCTTCTTCCATACCGGAAAAATATCGCCAGAGCCGATTTGTGTTATTTTCTCGGGAGGTTCAAACTTAAATACTGTGCTAAAGGATTTAATCGGATTTCTCTGATTGTTTCTCTTTCAAAATCGGTTCCACTATTGAGTTGTTAATTTAAGAATTAACCGATTTCTGCAAGAACTTCGTAATCTGCCAAATAATTGTGTATATATGAATTGTAAAATAAATATTTATTTAAAATGAAAAATCGAAGAACCCCAAAAAAAAAAAAAATTATTTTTCTTTTAAAAATATTTTAAGCTTCTTTAGCGAATTTCTCCATTGAAAATGCGAAATGGATTGCAATATTCATACTGGAATATACATGGAATATATATTTCATGAAACTAAATAATTATGTGCAATAACCACACGTTCTTGCGCATTGTTGCATCATTGTTGTACGAAATACACCGCCACAACTATTTGATGCTCTTATTGCTTCACAGCCTTGTCGTTCGTCTTTACAATTTTGTGTTGGAGATGATGAAGTTGTCGCTAAAATTCATTAAACTTTAGTTTTTATGGTTTCTGTGTATTTCAATTTTCTTGTTTCTAACTTTTGAAATAGTTTGTAAAAAATTTCGAAAAAATACTTGATAAACAGTCGCGTGAATTGCATGATCTCTGGCACATGCTCTTTAATCTGTCATTGGTACAAACACCCAGTGACACCAAAACATCGCAACCATCAATAATATCCGGACACATGTTTGCAGCACCGGGTAAATGACAAAGGCCACAAGTCTGCGGGCAAAATCGTAGAGCAAAATCTGGGATGCTAGTACAGAGTGACCTTGAAAAGTTTCTGCACGGACCTTCTCGGCCTCCAACTGAAATTAATGATCTTTTCATAGATTGTGCCTTTTATCTTTTTCCTTCCTCTATAGGATAGAATTTAACTTTTATTTTCCATGCTAATCCGCAGATTCTTATGCAGATAGTTGTTGCAGATAACTTTTAGTACCCTGCCACTGAATTTTGGACACTTATAAGGCTTATAATCAAAATTTTCTCTTCTCTTTTTCATTTCGTTAATGAAATGACCGAAGAAAGAAAGTTAAAAGAAATTACGAAAAATACTAATTGGCGACCAAGGAAAAATCCGAGCAATCTTCGCTATTTTTGTTCAATCCATTTGAATTACATCAAAAAAAAAATTTTATGAAAGAAACTTTACCATTTTCACAGTTATATTCTTTAGTTAAGCAACATGTTGCGCACGTTCGTGGACACAATTGCCGAGCCAACATTCTATAGGGAGGCTGTTGACATGTGTCTCGAACTTTATAATCCTGGTTTCTGCAACAGATCTTTTTCATTTTTGTTTTTCTTACATCTTTTTTTCAAATTTTCTATTAAATTTTTAATTTGATTTATTATATGTGAATTTAAGTCAAAATGAAAATGCAAGGAATCTTCCAGAATATAAGAATGAATTCAAAATGCATAGTTAATGATCGGTTCATTATCTGAATACGGTTTAACATAATTTAGGTACGCAATTAAATATGATATTTTTCGATTAAAATATGAAATGAATGCGATAACATAAATTGCGGGGAACTTACTCCATCTGATTATTCATGAGCACCATTCCGAGTTGAGCATTCATATCATCAGGCTTGAATAATTCAAAACAAGCCAATGCATCGCGATCTTGGCAGTTCTCAACAGGTACCGAAGGTCTTTGCACAAGCATTTGTCCCACTCCTTGCTTTGGAACATTGCAAACATCTATTGCCACAGCAGCTCCATTAGTGAAACTGCATAACGATGCCAGTATAAGCAGAGCAATGAACATGTTTACTAGTCAAATAATTTGCGTTCGACCAATATTTTAAGGCTATATATGAGCCGCAAATACAGTTGTTGTTATTTCAGTCATATTCCGGAAATTTATTGAAGAATTCTCTTACTTGAAACTGCATTCAACTGTTCAAACATGATTTTTGAAATTTGAAGTACATTTGCTTCATTTCATTTGGCGTGCAAAGGACATATAATTATGAAATTCACTAAACAAATTTTATATTTTCTAAGCGATAATAAACATGGAAAGTAATTTTTACAAAAACTTTTGACTCAAACCGAGGAAGGTCAATCAATTGTTTTTGTTGTGAAAAATTAATGAAACGATAATTTCGATTTGGCATGGGAAAATTCTTGAATTCGAATTCCTTTCCAATTTTTCGATATTATTAAAGCTGTGAAGGCTTCTTCCCAGCTCAGCGCAATGCCTCATTTCCGCGCCGGGTAAATGACCACAAGTCTGCGGGCAAAATCGTAGAGCAAAATCTGGGATGCTAGTACAGAGTGACCTTGAAAACATCTATTGCCACAGCAGCTCCATTAGTGAAACTGCATAACGATGCCAGTATAAGCAAAGCAATGAACATGTTTACTAGTCAAATAATTTGCGTTCGACCAATATTTTAAGGCTATATATGAGCCGCAAATACAGTTGTTGTTATTTCAGTCATATTCCGGAAATTTATTGAAGAATTCTCTTACTTGAAACTGCATTCAACTGTTCAAACATGATTTTTGAAATTTGAAGTACATTTGCTTCATTTCATTTGGCGTGCAAAGGACATATAATTATGAAATTCACTAAACAAATTTTATATTTTCTAAGCGATAATAAACATGGAAAGTAATTTTTACAAAAACTTTTGACTCAAACCGAGGAAGGTCAATCAATTGTTTTTGTTGTGAAAAATTAATGAAACGATAATTTCGATTTGGCATGGGAAAATTCTTGAATTCGAATTCCTTTCCAATTTTTCGATATTATTAAAGCTGTGAAGGCTTCTTCCCAGCTCAGCGCAATGCCTCATTTCACCATTTCGCGCCAATAACCAACCACTACATTTGCTGAACGATTTTGTACTAACGCTTTAATCCTTTTTAAACGTCTGTAAAGTAGAATAAATTGGAGATATGTATGGGGAGAAATGTTGCTGTAGAAATTTCGAAACGGTCTCACATTTATTCACTTATCTGAGAGATGGTCATCATTCTCATAACTCATGGTTCATGAACAGAGTATTCTTATTGTTTAAAATTCCTCATCAATTTTCACTCACTCACTTGTATTTTTTTCGAAGATTCAGAGTTTAAAAATTGCACAAAAAGATTTCATAGGATTTCATTTCACTGAAAAACCTCTCATTGACTGCTCAAAAATGAAAATAAGCTTTCACCTAACGTGATTCCTTTTCCGACCAAATAACGCTTTTTCAGGTCGTTCAGACTGAATTATTCAGGCATTATTTTCTTCTATCGCAGCTACGTTCATGCGTTACGTCAAGATTTTTATTAAAATTTTCAATCAATGCAGTATGTTAAACAAATATATTTTTTACAATGAAAAGTAGATTAATAATTTTATATTTTGCAAATTTTTAGTTCATATAGGCGATTTTTGCGAAAGCTTCATGAAAAGTACAACAAAGAAAATCCTTCCTTTGCCTTGAATTAAAAAGTTTGACAAAAAATATTCAAACATTTTTAAGATTCATTATTATTTAAAAAACCAAAAATTCGTTTAATTTATTAATGAAATTTGTGCATAATTGCATATGAATTGCGAGGAACTGAACATATTTCAAATTTCAAAAACCAAGTATGGATAGCTGTCCGACTCTTAGTAGGAATTTTTTATCATTTTTCTGGAATTATACAAAAATAACAATAGATTTTGCAACTATATATAGCCTAATTTACAGATCGAAAGTAAATTATTTGACTGGTGAATATGTTCGTTTCTTTGCTTATTTTAGCATCGTTGTGTAATCTTGCTAATGGAGAAGCAGTAAATATAGATGTTTGCAATGTTCCTGTGCCAGTAATGGCAGCTATTGTGCAAAGACCTTCGGTCCCTGTCGAGAATTGCCAAGATCGTGATGTGCCGGCTTGCTATGAAATATTTAGACATGATGACGATCCTGGTCAATTCGGCATGATACTCATGAATAATCGCATGGAGTAAGTTTCTCCCTAATTTAGTTCTATCCCTATTTTCATAAAGGATTTAAGGATAGAAGGAAAACCGAACCAATATTATTTTGAATATAATCCTATTTTTATTTTGCATTAGCTTAAATTTGCGAAAAATACATCAAAAAAAGCGCTGAATTCAAAATTATTAGTAAGAAAATTTTAAATGAATTACATAGTTGATAATTCAGAAATATGAATTATCAAGTTCGAGACAAGTGTCAACAGCCCATTTATAAAATGTTGGCTCGTCAAATGTGTCCACGAACGTGCGCAACATGCTGCTTAACTAAAGAATATAACTGTGAAAATGGTAAAGTTTCTTTCATAAAATTTTTTTTTGATGTAATTCAAATGGATTGAACAAAAATAGCGAAGATTGCTCGGATTTTTCCTTGGTCGCCAATTAGTATTTTTCGTAATTTCTTTCAACTTTCTTTCTTCGGTCATTTCATTAACGAAATGAAAATGAAAAAGAGAAGAGAAAATTTTGATTATAAGCCTTATAAGTGTCCAAAATTCAGTGGTAGGGTATTAAAAATTATCTGCAATAACTATCTGCATAAGAATCTGCGGATTAGCATGGAAAATAAAAGTTACTATCGAAGAAGGAAAAAGATAAAAGGCACAATCTATGAAAAGATCATTAATTTCAGTTGGAGGTCGAGAAGGACCGTGCAGAAATTTTTCAAGGTCACTCTGTACCAGCATCCCAGATTTTGCTCTACGATTTTGCCCGCAGACTTGTGGTCTTTGTCATTTACCCGGTGCTGCAAACATGTGTCCGGATATTATCGATGGTTGCGATGTTTTGGTGCCACTGGGTGTTTGTACCAATGACAGATTAAAGAGCATGTGCCAGAGATCATGCCATTCACGCGACTGTTTAACAAGTAATCCGCAAAACTTTTTATAATTTATTCCAGAAGCCTATATTTTATCATGGATTTTAGCGACAACTTTATCATCTCCAACACAAAATTGTAAAGACGAACGACAAGGCTGTGAAGCAATAAGAGCATCAAATAGTTGTGGTGGTGTATTTCGAACAACAATGATGC